GACATATATCCCCCCAGTTGCAGTCGTTTCCTGTTTTCAGCAGTGGTTTGGGATCACGATGACTCGTGTGATGCCGCTGCAAGCAACTGATAGGTATCGAGGGAAGGCATCGGAAATCGTGCCCGGCAACAGACACGTCTTAAATGTGTCTTCAAGCAGATGTCGTCTGTTAAAGTTACGGAAGCGCCAATTTAAGCACTGCAGAGAACGCTCGGACATACCTGCAACCTTACTCTTTGCCATTTTTCTTATTGTGGCTCAAGTAAAATCTACCGCGGCTTGCGAGTACTGACACTAACTTTACAATGTAGACTGTAGGTGCTGTGCAGAAGTAAGGTGAGCTTTTAACGAACGTGTATATTGAACTGTGAATCTATGCATAAACATCACCTTTTTAGCCGCTTGTCGACTGATTCTGACAAAACCAACCAACCTACTTCAAGTTCAAAACTGTAATCGCTGTCATTCACTGGTTTTAGTTTGTCGTTTCTAACGTTTTAGTAACGCCTGTTCGTACTTAAATCGTGGCATAAATCACATTTTCACAAATACTTCGTATGCTTTGAAGTCAACAGCGCTAGCCAGAGTTCTTTTTCGGGGTTACACCTTATTCTAATTATTACACTAGATAGTCAACTGTCAGTGAATCAATGCGAAATACAGTCGCCAAGGGCGCTCGAATTGGACAGCATGAGTACACATATTTCTTGCCTGTGACTGCACCATGCTCTCCCTGTTAGTCGTTAAGTCAACAGTCTGCTACCCTTTTTTTGGCTGGTGGCACCGCAGAAGCGTAGGATAAATTCCTTGCTCTAAGGAATTCGTGCTTATGACAGAGATTGTTCCTTCTGTGCATTTGATCTACTTGTCACACTTTTACCGCGCCTCCGTGGTTTCGAGCTTGATTTTTGGTTTCAGCTGGGAGCGTGGAACTTCCTGCAAGTTTGAGGTAGACTTCTAAAATACTTATCGAATCGTCGGACAACTGAGCCCCGGCCTTGAAAATATGTTGCTTCTTGGGTAGTAAACTGCAGCCTTCAATCTGGAAATGACAACCGTCGTAGGGCTTCTGGTAGTAACAGTTGCTCAGGAAGTTAGGCACTTACCCGTAAAATTGCGAAGGAACAGAATTTCACATTGCACACGCAAAATTCTTTGTGCCTCTCTTTTCGACATGAATCGGAGTTGTCGATTCTTGATTCACGCAGTTTGTTAAAAATCTTTTGAATATTTTCAGCAAGGGTCTGCCTACCGGTATGGAACTGTTTAGGGATAATTCGATTGACATGTCGAAGGATCACAAAATAAATATAAATTTGAGATTCAGTTTCACAACGATTTAATATTGTAAGCAGCTGCGTAGGGTCTTTATTTCAACTTATTCAGGTGTTCGGTGCATTAATATTTGCACTTTGCAGACACGCCGCTTATTCCCAGGCATTATCGAACCATTGTGCGCGATCAGACCAGTCATGGATTTGAGTTTTGATAACCTCTGGCCACGTGTTTTATACTGTGCGGTAGGGTAATAGGTCAGGGTAGCTCAGTTTTCGGTTGAGCGTGAAAGTCACAATCGAAACTAGTCTTTGCCGTTGGGTCACTGGCCTTTCATCGTTCCAAGATAGATTGATAATTACCATTATATTTGGCAAGGAAATTGACAGTTCGATACTATAATGCCCGAATTGCTCTAGCCATTTTCGAGAAAGAATGACATTTCTGTCCGATATTTGAACAGAGGTCATCTCTGCATTAAGATAAGTCGAGATATACGATTGTTAAATATGTGTATTAAGCCGTTTTGACTCATTCACCATTTTGGGGATTGAAAAGCTTATTAATCAAAGCGCTAAACGTTCCTCAGGGTTTTTAATGTTGGATATATGCCGTGGTCAAGCGCATTCAGTAAGCACCGATTCCAGCAATTAATGTTTACTCTGAACGCATTGTCGCTGTTTGTCATTAAGCAAGGCAGATCTGAGTGACATCAGACGTACAATGCAGTTCTTCCTGATGGCGTGCACTGCTATGGCTGAACATTTTTATTTGCTCTGTTTATGCAAGCCATATGTTTCTGCGTTCCGTTTTTGCGCCACCTTCCTGTTTTTCCAACGTAACTGTTCTCACTGAGGCAATCCAGGCCGTGTACAACGCCAACTATCTCCTGGTTTAGTGCAGTTTTCTTGTGCAAGTGACCGTTATTTCTTCAAAGAAACTTCCGTGTGTGCGGAATATGTCACGTACTCACGAATTGTTTTATTGTTTCGCGTACTTCCTTTGATTAAAGACCAGCATATGGCTGCTTCCCAAGTGAGTGAAAACTTGTTTATACCTGTTTTAATCAGGCGGACCAACAAGAAGTTGGGAAAAAGCATGTCGGGGTATATGACTTCAGCAGAGCAAGCGTTGCAAGTCCAATCGTGAAGAAGCACACAACCAGTGGAATTCAGAAAAATTGTTCTAGAGTAAATTAACTGGAAGGAGGGAAGATGTAGAAGCGGTTCTATTATAACAGATGCATATCAGAATGAGTGAGTATTGCGCATTCAACTCAGTCAATTCGCTGCTGTTCAACGAAACGTAAACGTTTTAGCAACGCTTTGTATCGTTTCATTGATAAAGTGGTGTGCGCTGTATATTAACTATTAAATTTGCCTCTGCGCCTTCTGTTCCGACGAAGTTCACGAATAATTTCTGATTATCTCACAAGCTGAATCAAGGCCCTGGTGTTAATGGATACTTTTAATTCAAGAGGGGATTGGAGTATGGAAACTGTACCGAGGGCGCCTATTCTAAGGGCGTTTTACCAGTCCGATTGTTGCAGAACATGCTTCAAGTTCAGTTGAAGTATCTGAATCGTTACTGAAATGTTTAAATAATAAATGTGATAGTTTATTTAATTGAGTAAATTATTTATAAACTCTGCTTTGAACCGAGTGCCCGGAAATCTAGTGATTTTGCTTTGAAATGTAACCATTTCACATAGCCATTTTTCTGTAAGCAGAAAGCGTTTAATGTCAAACCTATGAAACTTTGAAATTTTAAAGTTTGATAGTATACTTACCGGAAGTTGTTTGTTACTATGCTTATTGGTCGTTTTTCCGTAGAGAAGTTTGATTATCTATATTGTTGTTGTAAGCCTTTGACTTTGCTTGGCAGAGCAAATGTCCCTAACATATTTTTATAATCTTTGCTTCCGTTTAAGATCTACGTTGTTGGCGGATCTGACGGAAACAACGATCTGAGTACCGTTGAATGTTTTGACCCCGTTGTACGATCGTGGCGTAGGGTAGCGCCTCTTTCCAGTCCGCGTTCAAATATCGGTGGGTTGATGCAGTCGTATGTTCCTATCACGCGGTGTGATCGGTGTACTTGAGGTCTTGCAACGATTGGCAATCGCCTGTACAGCATGGGCGGATGGGACGGAGAAAATGCGCTGAAGGATTGTGAGAAGTACGATCCGTC